GCCTGCGACTCGCCACGCGGCCGCCCGCCCATGGCATCCTCCTCCTCCTCCTCCTCCTCCTCCTCCTCCTCCTCCTCCTCCTCCTCCTCCTCAGCCTCCTCCTCCTCCTCCTCCTCCTCCTCCTCCTCCTCCTCCTCCTCCTCCTCCTCCTCTCCTCCTCCTCCTCCTCCTCCTCCTCCTCCTCCTCCTCCTCCTCCTTCCTCCTCCTCCTCCTCCTCCTCCTCCTCATTATCCTCCTCCTCCTCCTCCTCCTCCTCCTCCTCCTCCTCCTCATCATCATCATCATCATCACCACCACCACCACCACCACCACCATCAGCAGCAGCAGCATCATCATCATCATCATCATCCTCATCATCATCATCATCATCATCATCAGCATCATCATCCTCCTCCTCCTCCTCATCTTCCTCCTCCTCCTCAGCCTCCTCCGTCCGTAGCCATTTTGGCTCAAGCCGCTCATCAGCGAACGACAGTCCCATTGCTCAAGCTCGGTCGGCCCGTGTTCCTCCGGCTTGCCTCTGTTGCTTCGCTCGTCGTGCTTGCGGATGTCGCTACGGGAACCTCTCAGGAAAGCAGCGGCGGCCCGCGTGGCAGACGACAAGCTGGTGAGGAAATTGAAGGTGGAGATTGCGGAGTTGCGCCGCGAGCTGGAGGCCCTGCGCTCGACCCCGACGGCCCGTGAGGGCGAGGTGGCGAGGCGCGAGGGCATTGCGCGGCCCGCGCTCCTTTCGCCGGTGCACGGCGTGAGGCTGTCGGGCGGACGGAGGCTCAGGCGCAACTGCACGTGGCACGCCGAGCGCTGCCCCCGCGCAGACGCCCCGCGGCAGGCAGGGGTGCAGGCCCAGAGGGGGCCACGCCTGGGCGCCGCGGGTGTGCAGGCGGCGTCACCAGGCCCCGAGGTCGACGAGGGTAGCCTCGACGTCGAGAGCCTGGTGGCGATCGGGAGCGACTACGGCGAGCTGGAAATTCAGGACTGCATCCCTGCTGTGCGGGACATCCTCCTCGGTGGCGACCGGGGGCTGCAGCAGTTCACTGCTGCCGGCAGCGCCGTGTGGCTCGCATCTGACTTGGAGGCGTCCTTGGGGCAGGGGTTGCTGGACACGCACCTCGTCCCTCCTCACTGGCATCGTCTGCTCGTGCGGCGCGGTCGTGTTCTCGGGCTGCCGCAGCCCGCCTTGCGGGGCCCCGCGCGGCACGGGAACGCCGAGGAGCGCCGAGGAGCGCAGGTGGACGTCGCGATGGGCGTCGAGGCGCTGGCAGGGCAGTCTTCCAACCGACGGGGTGCCCCCCCCCCGCGGTGGAAGGCTCTGAGGGTGGCATGTGGTTCTCGGCCGCGGCGGCCGCCGAACCCGAGGGTCAGCAGCTCGACGTCGAGGCCGAGTTCGTGTCGCCGCAGTCCGCCGCCGAGGTTTTCGACGGATGCGACGAGCTGGGGACTTCTGGCGCTGCGGAGCTGTTCGGCCTCGGCAGCGGCTTCTACTTCGGTGCCTCCCCGCCTCCCTCGGCCGCGACTGGGAGGGACGCCGTGAACGACAGCCTCAAGGAGGCTGCAGGTGCTGCGCTGGCTGGGCTCGTGGAGGTTGAGCCCTTCAAGCCGCCTGCCAGCATCTTCGGGTCCGACGTGGGGCCACCCTCGAGCAGCTGTTCGGAGGCGGCGTCGGGGTCGCGTGGCCAAGCGGAATGCAGACAGCAATAGCCTCGGGGATCTTCTGACCCGGGTCAATCCAGACCCGGGTCAGCAGGAAACCAAAAACTGCAATGCAAGAAAAAAAAATGCAACGCAGGTCTTCGCAAACCCGGGTCAGCCAATGTGCGCGGCCGCCTCGCGGCCACGAGCGGCTCGCTAACCCGGGTCAGCCAGAGGGGGTCTCCGCAGGATCCTGCAGGATCTGGTGCCCTGGCCGACCCCCGTTTGCATTGACCCCCGTCTCAAAGCTCCCGATGCCTTGCTGCTGATCGCCGCCGGTGCTCGCGGCGGCCTGGCTGACCCACCAGATGTGCTCCCCCTCTGTGTCGTTCGGCGTCGTCTACGGCCTCGTGTTCTTCGTCGCTGGGTACGGCAATTGGGCAGGGGAGGAGCAGTTGAGCAGTGCGGCGGTAAAATCCTCGGCCTCCTCAGTCTTGCCTCGGCCCGCCGTCCGTTCCTCCCCTTCCTCCTGCCGTGGACGAGGGGGCCCGCCGAGTCCACCCCAGAAGCCCGGAAGGGGGAGGGGGGGGGCTCGGGTGCCCTCTCGGTGCCCTCTCGCGGGGCCCTCAAGCCCCTTCCGGAGGCTCCCTGGGCCCCCATGTTGGGCCCGCAGGAAGGCGGCCCCGGGCCAATGGAAGTAATGGATGTGTGAAGAAAATGCAAGAATCTCAAAAAGGATGAGCTACAGACTCAAGGCATATGTGGAAAATTTGATGTCATAGTCTTCATCAGCTAGGGCACGAGGGGCCCCAGGGGGGGTTCCGGAGGGACCCTCGAGGGCCACCCACGGTGTCGTGCCCACGGCCTCTGGTAGGATACTGCGGGGGTCAGTTACGACGGCCCTCCCATGGGGCCGCCAGGAGGGCCTCCAGGGCCGCCGCCGGGACCGCCGCCGGGGCCGCCGGGCCAAGCTGAACTGCAGCCCCGGGGCTCTCCCAGAGGGGTCCCAGGGGGAGTTAACAGGCGGCTCCGGGAGGGACCCTTGAGGGCCCCCCACAGTACCATACCGAGGGCCTCTGGTAGGATCCTGTGGGGGTTTGTTCAGACGGCCCTCTGGGGCCCGCCAAGAGGGCATCCAGGGCCGCCACCTGGGCCTCCGGGGCCGCAGGCAGCATGGCGGGGCGAGCCCCAGCCCCTCGATGACGACAGGGACGACATTCGTGTTGCGGTTGGCTGCTTTGCGTGTGTAGAGGGCCTCGGTGCCGTGGGATCGCAGATGGGAAGACACGCCCCCACAGCGGTTAGGCCGGTAGAGCCTAAATCCGAGGTCGGCCTCTCGATGGGGCGAGGGGCCAGATCGCACCCCAAGTCGTGACGCAACGGCAATGTCACGAATTTCGGTGCCGCGCCCGAGGGGGTATTCCTCGACAGTGGAGCCCCAAAGCGCTCGATCAGAGCGGGGGGGACTTCCTAAATCTCCGTCGAAGGATTTGGCATCCTATCCCGACGTATGGCCGAAAGCAATAAGTGGAGTGGAATACTTCCTTCACAGCCGCTGGCAAGAAACATCGGATACGTGGGCCCCCCTGGTGTCAGCAGGTGGCCGATAGCTTTCTGCAGAACCTCCGACTTTAAGGATCTGGCGTCGCAGTCGCAGTCGCACTGTCTCCAGTATTTCGTGGATGTCCGCCTGATCCATAAAGATGGTTTTAGGTACCCTCTAAGCCTATAGCGCGCTTGGTAGTCCTCCTCCTCCTCCACCTCCATTCCCTTTCCTTATGCATAAATCATCCATGTCGCACCCCGAGGCCAGTTGGAAGGGCGGGCCAGGGGTTTCGCCTGAGACTTCCTTGCCATGTTTACGAGCCTCAAGGATTAAAACCTGCAGCAGGCTCACAGATGAAGGCGAGCCGCTTCCAAAATGTGGCTCTCGCCCAAGCGCCGCACCCATTCGTCTCGAAAGCTTGCAAGAGCTCCCCGGAGGGAGGGCGGCGCCTCTTCAAAATGTCGCCGCTCTCGCCTCAGCGCCGCGCACACTCTTCTGAAGAATGCACCAAAAGCTGCAAGGATTCGCATGGCTGACGTCCCAGAGAAGGTGCTTTGGCACGATGCAAGACTGCCAGGGCGCACAAGTTGCGTCGATTCGCAGTGTTGAAGTCCCAGGAATAATGCTCTGGCACGAATCAGGGCCACCTGGAGACAACAGTAACGCTGAATCGCGGCATTGAAATCCCAGGAATAATTTCCTGGCGCGGTTGTAGATTTCTAAGCGGTTGTCTTCCCTCAACGAAAATGAAAATGAATCCTCAATGGAAATGGGTCCTTGTAGGGACCTATGAGGAGGGAACTTGGAGGGAGGGTTTATTGGAACACCGATGCTGGTTCTTGTGTTTACACTGGTCCTCCTCCTCCTCCTCCTCCCTCTCCCTCTCCTCCCGCTTCTCCTCCTCCCCCGTTTCTCATCATTCTCCTCGTCCTCATCCTACTCCTCCACCTCCTCAATCCTCCCTCGCTCCATCCTCCCCTCCCTTCTTCCCTCCTCAACTCCCACCCTCCCTCCCTCCCTCCTCTCTTACTTCCCCAGAATACCTCTACACCTCCTCCTCCTCCTCCTCCTCGTCCTCCTCCTCCTCCTCCTCATCCGCATCCTCCTCCTCCTCCTCCTCCTTTTCCTCCTCCTCCTCCTCATCATCATCTTCCTTTTCCTCCTCTTGTTCCTCCTCGTCCTCCTCGTCCTCCTCCTTCCCCTCCACCTCCTCCTCCTCCTCCTCCTCCGCCTCCTCCTCCTCCTCCTCCTCCGCCTCCTCCTCCTCTTCCTCCTCCTCCTCCGATCGACCCTCCAACTCCTCCTCCAGCCTGGCCTCGTCCAACACCAACGTCGCTCAGCGCCGCAGTGGGGCGCCCAAGGCTAGGACGAGGGTTTCCGCCTCGCCTGGAGGAAAAGAGAGAGATCTCCCCCCCTTCTCCCTCGACACTTCTCCGACGGCGACCGCCAGGACTGGCGCTCTCCTCGTCGATGAATTACCATCCAAATGTTCTCTTCTTCTCGTTCCTGCTGGTTGAAGTAGAGCTGCTGTCCAGTTTTTGAGTTCAAGGGGACATCCCTCATGCCAGCGGTCGACGACGACGACGACGACGACGACGACGACGACGACGACGACGACGGCGACGACCTTTCTCCCGCTCGCGCCCGTGGCTCCCCGCGGCGCCCCCGTGCGCTCCGCGGCCGTCGGCCCCCTCCCCGGCGCCCCCGCTGGCGCTCGACGCGGCCATCTCGACTCGGAGGTGGCGCGCCGCAGCCCCGTCGCTGGGACGTCGGAGGTGGCGCTCCGTCGGAGCCGCGCCGCCCTTGAGCCGAGCCGGCCACGGA